ACAGGCCGGGCCCTGATAAATCCTCCCTCAAATGCCAAAAGGGCCCTGCCCTCTCCCCCTGCCTTTTACTGATAGCAACCAAGGCTCAAAAACTGGTAATACGGTGTGGTGGCCCAACAATGGCCACTATGGGTATTTGTTTCTTAAAGCTATAGGTACTGCTTCTATTATTTTTTGGGGGGGTTAACCCCCCAATTTTTGTTTTGTTCTTTGGTTTTTTGATTTTTCTGCAGACAAAGATCTGTCTTGTCTGTTCATGGCTCCAGTCTCCAGATAGAAGTATCCACAGTTTTGGTTGCATTGAGAATTGGTTGCATTGAGTTAAACCCACTTTTGCCTATCCTGAATCTACTGATCATCAATTGTATTTGGTGGAAGAGGAAAAAATAGTTCTCTTTCTAGTTTTTCTGTCCCAAACAGTCTCAGTTATATTTAATCTTTTTTTTTTAAGTGAAAGGCCTTTCCTTGTAGGCTACCCGTTTTTGTACTTTTTCTATCTCCATGTTTGTTTGTTTTTTGTGGGGGAACTGATGAGGCAACTGGAACACTGGACAGTATTCCAAATGCAGCCCCATATAGAAGAACATTACAAACTTTGGTTTTTATTTCAATTTTTTCCCCTAATAATTGCTAACACAGAATACGTTCCAGTACTCCATACTGAGTTGATGTATTTATTGACTTGTCCACCACACATCTAAGATCTTGTTCCTGGTCACTTACTACCAATACAGGTCCTATCAGTGTATTTGTTTGGTTAGGGTTTTTTTTCTCTCAATGTTCCATCATTCACTTTATACTAAGCCATTTACTGTGTTGTTTCTCACTCCCCCTATCAGGAGAAAACCCTTTGGATCTCTTCACAATACACGATTTTTCACTCTCCTGAATAATTTGGTGCAAACTTGGCCATTTCGCTGCTCATCCCTGATTTCAGATAATCCCATTATTATAACACTTCCTTCTTGGGTTGTCTCCATACTTCTTTCACTTTTGCGAGATGACCCCCCCCCCCAAATGGTATAGACTTCACTTTGCACACTGTCACAGTCCTGAATACCCTGCCCCTGGAGAAGAAAAGGTGAAGCACGGGCACAGCCTGGAGAAAGGCAGCAGCTCAGTTGTAGAACCAAGGAGAGAGCTAGTTGGGCCCGTAGGTGCAAGGGAAGAGCAGACAGGAGGAAGGTCATCCAGTACTAGATCCCTATGGAGCAAAGGCCTCCTCACAGGAGTTGCACAGGAGTAGGAGTAGGGAAGCAGGAACTGGGAGGGATCAGAAGAAGGGGATAAAAGACCCCAGCTGAAAGAGATAAGAGAAGCAGCTGGCTAGAAGCTTTGGGTAGATAGGCTTGGAGGCTTTGCAGATTAGAGAGTAGCTAGCATCCTGGATGCTTAGAAGGTGACATTCCTAGCCCAGAGAGAAACCAAGAGGGACTTTTCCTAACTGAACCAGGTGGACTAGCTCCCCCTGGCTTAACCCTGCAGAAAGAGTGCAGCAGCAAGAACAGGAGCTTAATGAGCTGGGAGAAGGACTCTGACTGGGAAAGCAGCCCCAGGACTTAGATATGAGCAAGTGAAGGTGATGAGAGATGAACTGGCCAGGCTACAGGATGGCAGTTAATCACTGGAGCTGGCAGTGTAAAAGAGCAAAGTATTAAAGTCCTGGTGTTAACATTTCTGGTGTGTTGACTTGTCTTTGGCACTTTGAAAGCCAGTTTGGTGTAGTGGTTAAGTGCATGAACCCTAATCTGGGAGAACCAGGTTTGATTCCCCACTCCTCCACTTGCAGCTGCTGGATGACCTTGGGCAAGCCATAGTTCTGTCAGAGCTGTTCTCTCAAGGACAGTTCTCTCAGAGCTCTCTCAACCCCACCTGTGGGTGTCTGTTGTGGGGGGGGGAAGGGAAAGGAGTTTGTAAGCCGCTCTTGAGGCTCCAAGTGAAGGGTGGGGTATAAATCCAGTCTCCTCCTCCTCTTCTTCTGCAGGAAGACGATGGCATCTCCACAAGGGGAGATCCACTGTCTTCCTGTGACAAAATGTTGCAGGAGCTTATTTCTAGAGGAGCACCGTGACTGGATACATTGAGACAAATGCAGTAGGGTAGACAGAGCCTCCCTCCTGAAGTAAGATCATAGTCTTATAAATAGCTTAATTTCTCAGTGATGAAATGGGCTGAAAATAATGCGGCTATAGCTGCATCTCAGAAGTTAGCTTGTAGATTGTGCAAAAAGAGGAGCCTGTATTCAATCACATGCTTGTGCTGTTCCTTCCTCTGCTGAGGCCATGTTCTGGAAATCTTGTTCCAAGTCAATGATGTAAAACTCAACACAAGATCCTGTCCAAGGGAGTTTTTTAGTAATTTTTCTTACCCCTTTCTATACTTTTTCCAGCTATGTGATGTTTATTCAGAAGTAAATCCCACTGAGTTCAATAGGACTTACTCCCAAGAAGGACATATAGGATTGTGGCCTTAATCTTTCTCAGGCAGTGGCAATTAGTTTAGATATCATCAGCAAAGTAGGATTTTGTTTCTCTGTTCCTAAGGGCATCAGTTTTCATTTACTTACATAGAATCCCATCTTTCATTTTGTAGTTTATTCATTCAGTTTGGAGTATTCCCTCTAGAACTCTTAGTGCCTCTGGAATTTCACTATTCTGAATAATTTGGTGCTGTCTGCAATTTTGACTGCCTCTTTGTTTACTTCAAATTTATGGTTGCCAACTCTGGGTTGGGAATTTCCTGGAGATTTGGAGGGAGGAGCCTGGGGAGGGACTTCAGCAGGGTATAATCCCATAGATTACATGTTCCAGAGCAGCCATTTTTTTCCAGTTGAACTCATCTGTCATCTGGAGATCATTTGAAATTCCAGGAGATCTCCAGGTTGACAGCCCTATTCAGATTCCAGGTAATTTGTTAACAATATTAATAGCATCAGTCCAAATACAGATTTTGGTGGGAGCATGGACTCTATTGTAACCAGGGCTTTTTTGTAGAAAAAGCCCAGTAGGAACTCATTAGCATAATAGGCCACACCCAACAGCAGAAACTCATTAGCATATTAGGTCACACCCCATGTTACCAGAAGTGTTGTCGTCCAGCCACACCCACCTTTTGATTCTTATTCTGTTTACTTTGTTGTCAAAACCCTGGGCTTTTTTTTGTAGCAGGAACTTCTTTGCATGTTAGGGCACACATACCCTAATGAAGCCAATCCTAATGAGTTTCTGCTATTAGGTGTGGCCTATTATGCTAATGAGTTCCTGCTGGGCGTGACCAACTCAGGAGCCAGGCCGGAACTATGTTCCTGTGCATTCCTAAAAAAAACCCAAAATAGCCCTGATTGTAACAAATGTTTACCTTCCCCTGTAACTCTGCTTCTCTGTGTTGTGGTCTTCACCTTCACCCCACCCTTTCAATTTTTGGGCAACTTCTTGGAGTCATGATCACCTATGATGTTAGCATCCAGTTAAAAACATTGTTGGAAGTCTAAAAATTTAGACAATTATCGTTTTACCATTTCTGGGTAGGCAATGGCTTGCTGTGATACTCAGTAATAGATATGCCCAGAAAATAAGTAGCATTTGGATAGACAGAGGTATGGCCTGCTGTGGATATGCACAAGGAGGGAAGGTAGACCATGCTACAGTTCAGGATGCATCACTGTTCACACACCATTGTTGCACTTGCATGAAGCCTTCTGCTGAGTCAGGCCAGAGTTGCTCACTGTTTGGTTATCAACCTGTTGCATCATTTTGATAGACACAGTTGAAAAACAACATCTAGTCCTGTACTGTTTCATAGCATCAACTTTTCCTTTGCTCCTAGCTCTCCCCTGCAGATTTTTGGATTAAAATCTTTACAATCTCCCCTGCAGATTTTTGGATTAAAATCTTTACAATCTGCTATCAGTTTTAAAATATTTTGCATAGAGAGCTTTACTATGCAGGTTTCAGTGCTGCTGATACTAATTTTTTTTTTTATTTGCATTTAAATTTTGTCTTTTGAGAGAGAGAAAGAGAGAGAGAGAGCGCCACAAGAATTCAGTCGTCCTTTAACCACAGGAATGAACAAACCATAACTAGGCTAGCTTTATAGGGTTTCAGTGCTGAATCTCTCCCTTTACTTTTACAAGTGGATGTGGTAGAATATATCCACTAAAAATCATGTAAGGTTGCTATTTAATATACTTATATCCCACCTCTCAAAATATCTCTTTGAGGCATCAGTCCTCAGATTTTAAAATACCAAAACAAGAGGCATTTGGAAGGACATTGTACATCAGGTAAGTAGGGTATTGCAATGTGGTTTGTAAAGTGTAGGATGAAGTCGAATTAAATGCAGAGAAGCAGTGAGTGGGAAGGGGTGTTGAATCTTCCCCCTGTACATCTTTCTGAAATCGCCTTCCCTCATAATCTGGTTTTCTCCCTGTGGGATTAATTTCCTATCTCAGACCCATGCTTGGGGGAAAAACAGCTGGTAGCCGGGAGTATAGGCAGGGGAAGAAATTGCCCCTTCCATGCCCCATGTTATATCTGTAAAGTAAAGAGCTGCTCTTTTCTAACTTATGGTGTGAATCTGTAGTTAACTATTTCCATTTCAGAACATGATTTTCCACGTTGGGTAATTTAGAGCACACCAATTCTGAGTGTCTCCTGTTGTGTGAATACCAGTCTGTGACCCCCTAGTTGTCTTCATGTTGTAGTGTCCAATGCCTTCATATATACTGTTGTCCTCATTGTGACAATACTTGTCTTCTAGCCTAACGAGGGCATGTTGTAAAATGGATCTCTGATCCAGCAAGATTTATCTGTGGCAAAGACACTAGGTAGAAGTCTGTGTAGAAAGTCTGTTGTAGGTTGTCGATCTAAGTTATCCATACAGTGGAGGGTTAATATTTCAGGGGCTAGGTACTGCTGATTTAGAATATGGTCTTATTGTCTTGGGGCATGTGAGGATATAGAAAACACTGAACTGTTGTGTTGTTTTTTGCTCCTTTACAGGCGCTTCACCAGTTGTACTATGACCCCAACATTGAAAACAAGAACTTGGCTCAGAAATGGCTCATGCAAGCTCAAGTCTCACCCCAAGCCTGGCACTTCAGCTGGCTATTACTTGACATGGACAAGGTGCCTGAGATTCAGTACTTTGGGGCAAGTGCCCTCCATATAAAGATCTCACGCTACTGGAATGACATCCCAGCTGACCAATATGAGACCCTCAAGTCACAGCTCTTCAGTCACATAACCCGTTTTGCTAGTGGCTCCAAGATTGTGCTGACTCGACTGTGTGTAGCATTGGCTTCATTGGCGCTCAACATGATGCCAGAGGCATGGCCGTGTGCTGTCGCTGACATGGTGCGAATGTTTCAGTCAGAGGACTCTAACATAGATGGACGAGCTCGCTGCTTGGCTCTTCTAGAACTGCTGACTGTCCTGCCAGAGGAATTCCAAACTAGCCGCCTGCCTCAGTACCGCAAGGGGCAGGTGCGTGGTGTCTTGGCACAGGAATGCAGTTCTGTCTTTCCACTACTAGAGCAGCTGCTGCAGCAGCAAGACTCTCCCAGCTTCATTAAACAGAAGGTGCTGAAGTGCTTCTCCAGCTGGGTGCAGCTGGAGATACCCTTGATGGAGTGTGAGAATTTAATCCAGGCAGCCTTCACTTCCCTGCGTGATCCAGAACTATTTGACACAGCAGTGGAAGCTATTGTCAATGCCATTTCCCAGCCTGATGCTCAGAGGTAAAGGTTAATCTCACATTGGGGGGTATACAAGATCTGTTGCCTGTGCTGTAAGCCACTTTCCATATGCAGCTGCCAAGAATGCACCTGTGTCAGCAGAGCTTCCATCACCCCTCAGTAGCCATGGTGTGTTTCCAGGCCAGAGTCTAGAGTGTGTGTGTGGGTGTGTGTGTGTGGGGGAAGTATCATGTTCATGCATTTTTCTTCAATGGAGAGAGTGGGCACAGGATGCTGCAAGTTCTCTTGATGGAAATGGGGGAGTGGGAGGCATGGAGAGGTGAGAGTAGAGATCTGATTGGGCAGAATGATCCTTTGCAAACAAGCTTTAGCAGTCCTTATCCAGACATGTTTTTTTCCTTAGCATGTTAACTCATTCAAAACAAAACTATGTAGTACTGAAACTAGGCTGAAAGCACCGCAGTCTTGATTAATTTTTAAGTCAGCACAAACCATTGAGAGAGATGTAGAAGACTGAGTTTTGTGCACTTGAGTTCTGTAGACATGGCTAATTTATAAGAGCAATTGCTGGTTATGTTATAATCCAGTAA